GGTGATCCTTCTGATGCTGGGGGTTGTCGCCAACCGCCCACAGAGGACCTCCGGGGATACCTAACTCGCAAACGCACCATATATGAGGCGAATCCTCAGTGCCATTGCGAAAGGCTCATCCAAACAGTACTCGCCGACTGTCAATGTCTAGGAACGGCGAAGCCTTCGGTGTTCGAGAGACTTTCTCGACAGCCTTCTCGACCAAGGCCCTCTCGTCGAAAGCGTCGTCACCAAAAAAGACGCGTCGCCGACGACCTAGAGCTCCCGTCCGCTACAATCAACATGATGGACAGGGATAAGGCGGTACTTTCCGACTCTCTAGTTTCGGACTCCGTCCTCGGGCCTAATCCTCGGCTTGTTCAACACGGATAAGACGGCATATACCAGCGTACCCATAGTCGCAAGGGGGTAAGCATCAGGTTTGATTACTCCATCTTACCACCTCCCTCCTATGGCGAAGACAAAGTTTACTCGGTGGCAGCCACGTCTCAAACCTCGCGCTCAAGTCAGGACGCACTGGCAAAAGTACATATGACTGAACTCCCCTATGAACAGACGGTGGCCAAAAAGCTTGAGGAGCAACAGGCAACCATCGATTCCCTAAGAGAGATGATGGAACAACTTATAAACAAGAAGAAGAAGAAGAAAAGAACCCAGCGCGCCTTACCCCGGCGAACGGGGGATAAGGAGTGGGTACCTCCCCATCGTCCAGCGACTGAGACGAAAGATAACAGTAATCCACAATCCGATTACTCTTCTAAGATATCGCTAGGAACATCGCATACGGGGGGTAGCACCCGTGACAAGAGGTTCGACGAGTTCCAAAACCAGCTCAACGCGCTAAAGCTTCAGCAGAACATGAATAAGCTGGGGGTGGTCCGACCCTATCCTGTCGAATGGGATACAGTCCCATACCCGGCGAAGTTCAAGCCAATCAGCTTGGTGCAATTCGACGGTAAGGGCTCGCCCTCGCAACATATTTATTACTTCAAGGCACAGACCAGATTCCTTACAGGGAACGACGCTATTCTCACTCGGCTATTCATTGGCACCCTCAAGGGGGTGGTTTTTGAATGGTTCCGCAAGTTAGGACCCAGCTCTATCAAGTCATGGGCCGATGCTGAAAGGCTCTTCCTGGCTCGCTTCTTCGATGATGACACAGAGGTGTCAATGGCCACCCTCCTCGCCAAAAAGCAACGAAAGTCAGAGTCAGTCAACGACTTCGTGAAGAGGTTCCGGAACCGATCAGTCCACTATCAGGACCAAGTTTCTGAATCCACACTGATCAAGATGTGCCGCAATAATCTCTCAATCCATATTCTATCCAAAGTAGGCGCGGTGGAAACCTGAACATGGAAGGAGCTTATTCGTCAGGGCGAGCAAGTGGAAAACATGATCAAAAGGCTAGAGGCCGAAGAGCCGCAGCCCAAGAAGGGAACTGCGGAACCGACCGTACCAAAGAATCCCCCTCGGTCAAGGGAAAAAGAGATCATGGCCGTCGACTCCACCCCGGCGCCAAAGACTACTCAAAGGCCGAAGCACAGGCAATTTGAGCAACGCCCCCCACGACAATATGACTTCAAAGAAGATCAGGTCGTGACGACATTCGATACTCTACTCAAGAGCGGTCGAATTAAATTACCGGAGGCCGCGAAGCCTGAGGAGGCGAACAAAACCAACGACCCGAGTTATTGTGCTTATCACAGATTCCTTGGCCACCACACGACTAAGTGTTACGTCCTCAAGGATAAGCTCCAAGCCCTCTACGATGCGGAAGTCCTAAAGAAGGAGAAGGTTCAAAAGCAGGTGACTACGAACATGATCACCTTGAGCTTTGGGACAGATCTCCCGGAGGTCCAAGCTCCGGCAGGGATAATTCCTATCCCCAAGGCAGTCTTGAAGATCACCAATGATGACCCTCACAATCAGCGAGGGAAAGGTTTAGCTCCGCAGATTCTGCCATCAGGTCAGGTGATGTGGGTCCATCCGGACCTCCTCAACGACGAGCAATGGACTACAAAGCCCTCGAAAGAGGCTAATGGAAAACATTATAACGTCGTCTCTGCCATCCTAGGTGGGGGAAAAGACAGCAATGACCGCCCTGACCGACTCCGAAGAGGAAACCACTGTCCTCGCCACGAGAGCAGGGAAAGAATTCGCTAAGGAATACCCCACGAGGGCGGAAAACCAGGCGGGACCTCTCACGAGGCCTACCACGACAACCCCTCCTAATCCGGATAGGCCAAGCTCAAGCCGTCAACCTTTCCGGTTCAATGTACTCGCGCAGCTGAAATGCATCCCCGCGCGAATTACCATGTACAACCTCCTACGGCTATCCAGGCCTACCCGGGAAGCTCTACAAGAGGCATTGGCTGACTCGGAGGCCTTCTCCACCCACTTCTTGAGGGAGGAGGACACAGAACAAGAATGTGTGATGTGTTACCAAACCACCGAGAGACGGGTCCCGTGCATCACTTTCACTCCTGAGGACATGCTCATCAAGAGCACGTCTCATGATCGACCACTGTACTTCACGGGGTACATCGGTTCGTCGAAAGTGGATCGAATTCAGGTCGACCCGGGTTCTGCATTGAGCATCGTGCCCCTGAAATTGATCAAACACTTAGGAATATCGCCAAAGCGCCTATCTTTAACCACCACGACCATCTTTGACTTTAATGCCACGGGGACTCGGCCGCTCGGCAAAATCCGCCTGAAATGTCGAATAGGCGACATGAAGACGGAGGTGACCTGCTACGTCATCGACGTCGAGCCTTCCTACAACATACTCTTGGGACGTCCATGGATCCATGGCAACCGAATAGTCCCATCCACGTTACACCAATGCCTGAAGTACGTGGATGATTACGAGCAAGTAAAGACAGTAGTGGCCGATAAGCAACCCTTCAAAGGCGTCGAAAACTACTTCACGGATTCTCTGCTGTACCAAGACCCCGACGAGCCACTGGTCGAAGAACTGGAGAGTGGGAACGAGGCAGATAGCGAACCTGAGTATGGCGACAGTCTAATCCTGAACGACTTCGAGTCAATTGTAATCGGTTACGAAAGTCACAATGTAACCAACGCCGTTCAGGCGGACGAGATTATCATGAATGAGAAGTCCAACTTTGCTTATTTGTCGTCTTGCTCCACATCAGAGGATGATGCACCCAGTAACCATATTGTCAAAACTCTACAGCGATCCCTCCCTGCACTTGCCGGTATGCTCGTCATACGTCATAAAGGCACAGCCGATCAAGTCATCGCAAGCTGTGCTCGTCGTGCCAGCCCGGAATAATTATCGAAAAGATATTATCTTCGGTCGAATCGATCACCCCCTACGCACGTTATGGGATGAATCTGAAGACGAGGACCCCGCGCCTCAGTTTTCACAATACAGTCAAGTCGCAAAACGCATGATGAGTGACATGGGGTATGACCTCACTCGTTTAGAGGGCCTGAATTATGGCTGAGGGCCCAAAACGGTCATCCGACCTGCTTATGTACCCAAAGGTAAACCCTCAAATTACTTCAACATGACTCAGAGAGGCTTAGGCTACTCCTCCTCCTCTTCGGATTTATGCTGTTACGTCAACGAGGATTCCGACTATGCATGTTCGGGAGATCGATCGTCGACGACCTCGGCATGGGACTCAGACGTTAGCGTGAGGGATCTATTCGATAACCTTACGGTCAACACGGCTGTGATGGATCCCGTCGAAATGGCAGAGGATGGACAAGTCCCGCTTTATGATGAGACATGGGATCGCCATGTTAACGCCCAGTGGAACAGTCGCTTTGAGCAACGTGAACCACCGACCGAAGACGAAATATCCCAGGTGAACATGGGGGACGAGGCGAATCCCAAGCCCATATTCATCAGCGGCGGTCTACCTCCCCAGGAAAAAGAGGACTTCATTGCCCTCATACGGGAATACATTAACGTCTTCGCATGGAATTACGATGACATGCCCGGCCTAGATCCGCGAGTCGCCATGCATCGCCTCAACATCGGCTCAGGCGCCAAACTAGTCAAGCAATAACAGAGGCGGTTTCGCCCTCAGATCATGGAGGCGATCGAGGCCGAAGTGAAGAAACTAATTGAATCTGGTTTTATCAGAGAGGAGCAACACCCCGACTGGGTGGCCAATATTGTTCCGGTCCTGAAGAAAAACGGTAAGATTCGCATTTGTATTGACTTTAGAGACCTCAACGTTGCGTGCCCTAAGGACGAATTTCCTCTGCCCATCATGGATGTCATCATAGACAACACATACGGATTCGAGAGGATGTCCTTCATGGATGGTTTCTCAGGGTACAATCAAATCAAAATGCACCCCGAGGACGAGAAACACACTTTATTCTGAACTCCTATGGGGGTGTACTGCTACACTGTTATGCCTTTCGGACTCAAAAACGCTGGTGCAACCTACCAACGTGCCATGAGCATAATCTTTCGAGATTACCTGCGGAAGACAGTCGAATGCTACGTGGACGACCTGGTCGTGAAGAGTCGCTGTAAAGAGGACCACCTCCAAGACTTGAGGGTAATGTTCAAACTCATGAGGACTCATCAACTCAAGATGAATCCTACAAAGTCATTCTTAGGGATGTCTAGCGGCATGAGGACTCATCAACTCAAGATGAATCCTACAAAGTCATTCTTAGGGATGTCTAGCGGCAAATTCCTCGGTTTCGTCGTCACGATGAAAGGAATCCGGATTGACCCAGATAAGGTGTGAGCTATTCAAGAGCTTTGACCGCCCCGAAATCTTAAAGAGCTAAGAGGCCTTCAGGGACGATTAGCTTACATCTGAAGGTTCATCTCAAATCTTTCGGGCAAGTGTCAACCCTTCTCCAAACTAATAAAGAAAGGAACTTCCTTCGTGTGGGATGAGCCTTGCCAAAAGGCCTTTGAGGAGATCAAGGCTTATCTCTCGAACCCGCCTGTCCTTGCGGCGCCGATCTCAGGAAAGCCATTCCTCATCTATATACGGGCTATGGATCATTCTCTAGGCGCCCTCTTAGCACAAAATAACGACGCGGGCTATGAGCATGGTATCTACTACCTAAGAAGAACCTTGCAAGGAGCCGAACAGTGGTACCCGATGATCGAAAAGGAATGTCTAGCCTTAGTGTTCGCCATCCAGAAGATGCGGTACTACCTGGTGGGCCAGACAATCCACGTCATTTCCCAGATGAACCTCATCCGAGTTTTCATGACACAACCCGCGGCGTTAAATTGGCGTCTGGCCAGGTGGGCACTTCTGCTGTCTCAATATGACATCTATTTCATGCCGCAAAAGTCAGTCAAGGGACAAGTCATCTGCGATCTTATGGCTAGTCACACGCTGGGGGCGAAGACTGACCTATTTGAAGATTTGCCAGATGAACCCCCCGAAGACAACTTAACTTCATCACCAAAGGTGTGGCAAATATTCTTCGACGGCGCGTCTCGCGTAGGCACGAGCGGCTCTATTGTTGCAGAAGTGGGGGTGGTCCTCACTTCTCCGCATAACCACATGTTACCCCAAGCCTTTTCTTTGACAGAGCCATGTACTAACAACGTAGCTGAATACAATGCGCTACTCATCGGGCTCGAATTAGCAAAATAGTTAGGGATAAAACGTCTTGAGGCTTACAGTGACTCTCAACTTATCGTCAAGCAGGTAATTGGCGAGTATGAGGTTAGAAATGACGATCTGATCCCACTTCACAAAGCGATTATCAAGCTAATAAGGTCATTCGAGAGCTTCCACATCGAGCACGTGCTACGTTCCAAGAACACGCATGCGAACACCCTTGCCTCCTTGGCGGCCAACCTGGCCCAGCCACTAGGGACGACCCAATGGGTCACAGTGGCGAGCCGAAAGCTCTTTCAACTAAAAGATGTCCTAGAAGCGAACGCCACTCATCAAGTCTCGGATCAGCCCGATCTGAAGGACTGGCATCTCCCGATCATCGATTATGTCCTATATGGCATGTTGCCCGAAGATACAAGGGAGCGAGAGTCTGTCCGACGACGTGCCTCGAGGTTCTACTATGATTCGACCACCAAAACATTGTATCGGAGGTCGTACGACAGCTTGTTACTTTGATGTCTTTCGGAGGCAGAAGCACAAGAAGCTCTGCACGAAGCCCATGACAGCGCTTGCGGGGCTCACCAGCCTGGACCCAAACTTTGGGATCGCTTGCGGAGGATAGGCTACTTTTGGCCTGGGATGGTTAGCGACGCGGTCGCTTACGCAAGGAGGATAGGCTACTTTTGGCCTGGGATGGTTAGCGACGCGGTCGCTTACGCAAAGCGCTGCCACGAATACCAAATCCACGCCAACTACATGCATCAACCTCCCGAATACTTGCACCCGACAAAGGCATCATGGCCCTTCGAGGCATGGGGGATGGACATAGTCGGGCCAATATCCCCGCCGTCAGCGAATGGTCATCGTTTCATCCTCGCGATCACCGACTACTTCTCTAAGTGGGCCAAGGCCATCCCCTTAAGAGAGGTCAAGACTAATGACGTGATCAAATTCATCAAACACCATGTTATATACCGATACGCCGTACCCCGGTGTATTATTCATGACAACGGCACATAATTCGTCAGCCATGCATTCACCAGGTTTTGTGACAAGTTCCGAATATAGAACCTCTCCTCCACGGCCTATCACCCTTCGGCGAATGGCTTGGCCGAGGCCTTCAACAAAACAATTATCAAGATCTTGACCAAGCTGACTTCCACTAGCAAACGTGATTGGAATGAAGAGCTAGGCGAAAGCTTATGGGCATATCGCACAACGGTTCGCACACCGACTGGAAACACGTCCTACTCATTGGTATATGGCTGTGAAGCCGTGTTGCCATTAGAGATTCAAATTCTACCCCTCCGCGTCGCCCTAGCAACGGGGATGACGGTTGAGGATAATCACCAACGACGACTCGCAGAGCTCGAAGCGTTGGATGACAAACGACTAGAAGCTCAACAACACATTGAGTTCTATCAAGCCCGAATGGCCAAGGCTTTCGACAAGAAAGTCAAACGCCGAGCCTTCAAGGAGGGAGAACTGGTACTAGCCGTTCGCCGATCGATGATTCTCACCTCTAAGAAGAAGGGTAAATTTCAGTCCAAATGGGAAGGACCATTCGTAGTAGAGATAGTCTATTCAAATGGAGCCTATCGCCTCGTCAAGCCAAACGACGATAAGATCATGATGCCCATCAACGGCAAATACTTGAAGAAGTACTACCCTTCGTTCTTCTTCCAGACTCCCACGAGTGCATGAGCCTAAACTGGTACTCAAATTCTCCAACTGGTATAAGAGGTTAAACTATTCCCTACACGGTTATGGCGAACTGCTCAAATCAGGCGAGCCTAATAGTTTAGGCGAGCTCCACTTCTTGAGCCAGGTTCCCGGTTGTGGCAAACCGCTCAAATCAGGCGAGCCTAACAGTTTAGGCGAGCTCCACTTCCTGAGCCAGGTTCCCGGTTATGGCGAACCTCTCAAAACAGGCGAGACTAGCAGTTCAGGTGGGCTACATCAGACTTCCACTGTCACGTTAACATCACACCTCTGACAAAATTAACTTACCAATCCTCTTCAAAAGGATGGTAGGTCCTCAAAGTCGTTCCGATCGTGACAATCCCTGTCACGTTAACATCAAACCTCTGACAAAATTAACTTACCAGCCCTCTCCAATAAGATGGTGAGCCCACCAAAGTCGCTCACATCACGACGGACAATTCTGTTATATTAACTGTCACCTCTAACAAAATCGACTTATCAATCCCTCCCAATGGGATGATAAGTCCTCATAGTTGCTCCAATTGTGACAAAACTCCATCAGGTTAATGATCACCTCTAATGATCGGCGCCATTATTCCTACGAATAACACAGCCTAAGTAATAACCTACCATGCGACGTGTGATTACTTCGGTCGATAGTCACACTCCTACGTCCCTGAACTACTTGACCTATTCCGGATATCCTAACAATTCTTTAGGATAACCGATGGGTAGTAGCCTACCACGCGATGGCTCCTACAACAATCGATTGTCATATTCCGACATCCCTGAATGATTCGATTATCATCTATGTGGTCCCCGACAATGGCGACAATTATCAAGGGTGGCCCGGCAGGCGACATGTCCGTCGGTTCCCCCGAACAACAACTCGCCGAGTGGTGAGTCAAAGTTGGGTTCTTCATTTGGCTGCATACACGGACAGCCGCTCTTTGCTTCGAGCCAAGTGTTATTCCCTCGGTCCCACTTGAGCTACAACGCGAAAATTGGAGTTAACCCGATCCCGCACCGTGAGCAACCAAGAGCAGAAAAGGAGCCTAACGACTAAGTCCAAAGCAGGATAGTCGAAGGCTCGCCATGTTGCTGGGGGTGGCGTGAGTAGCTCAACTCAAGCACCAAATAGCGCAGGTGAATCCAACATGAGGATCAAACACAGAGCGCAGAAAGAAGAACAAAATGCAGAGCAGCAAAAAAAAAAAGCAAAGCCAAAATATAATAGACCATTACGAGCCAAACTTACATAAAGTTTTGAGAGTTTAAATGCGTCTAGCATTGACAAAATTACAAAACTATGTTCGGCGAACGGTGGGATACACTACATCAATTTCAAGAGGCTGAAGTTGGCGATCTTCGCCTTGATAGCCGCAAGCTCTGCCGCCTGCCTAGCACGAGTCTCCGCCTCCTGCCTCTGCAGAAATCTGGCGAGGGCAGCCTCGCCATCTTCTTCCTCCTGGCGAAGAAGTTGAAGCCCCTCTGCGACCGCATCTTCTCGCGTTCGAGCTCCCGTAGCCTCGCCTCACCTTTAAGGGACCCAGCGTCTTCAAAGAAGGTAGCATCCAGGTAGGCGTCCATCTTGGCCAACACCGCGCGATGTTGCTTGCGCAAGCGTTGGAGCTCGGCCTCTCTTGCCTGGATGCGCTTCGCCAAATCTTCGTGCTCAAACATGAAGCGTACCGAGAAGAGGGGTGGTTCAGCCGGAGCATCATCCTGCGCCAGCTCCTCTAAGCGATACATCCACCCTTCCAAGCGGCCGAGCTCTCGCTCGCATCGTCGTGCGAGCTGAGGACCGCCCACACGGCGGACCGCCTCCAGACCCGCTTCCACGAGGGGAAGCACGTCATGGTACTTTCCAGCGCCCTCGCCGACGACGACGGTAGTTCGGCGTACCACGCCCT